AGTTGTATAGACATAAAGGTGTTCATAATGTTCTCATGAAGTTGTTCCCAATATTTACAGGGACCTCAACATTTGCAAGCCATGCAGTGGGTTGACAGTCTGGAACTGCTGCTCCTTGTGGTCCACAACAGGTATCACTTGCTTGATACAATTTAATTCCATTTGGATTAGAGAACATATTTTGCATGATTTTACTTCTTTTAAATTTGGTATGGTTTGCTTTATGGCCCAGAATATGATCTGTCTTGGTGAATATTCTAAATGCACTCGAAAGTAATGTTTATTCAACCACTGAGATGTTCTCTAAGTGGCAAATAAACCAAGTTGGGTGTTCAAGTCGTCTATATCCTAACTGATTTTCTGTCATCTTGCTTTGTCAATTACTAACAGAAATATACTGAGTTCTCCAAAGATACTTATGGTATCCTATCAGTTTTTGCTTCATGAATTTTGAAGCTCTGTTGTTAGGTGCATACACATTTAGAATTGTATGTCACCTGATGTTCCTTTGGTAATACTGCTTGTATGAATTTTTTAATATGAATATAGGTAGTCCAACTTTCTTTTGATTAGTTTTTTTTCCTTAGTCTTTTAGCCTACTTATCTCTTTATACTTAAAAAGGGTTTCTTTAGAAGACATATAGTATATAGTTGGGTTTTGCTTTTTTTTTATCCAATCTGACGATCTTTAAGTGGTGTGTTTAGAACATTTAATGTAATTATAGATATCACTGGATTTGAAGCTATTATCATGCTAATATTTACTATTTCCACCATGTGCTATTTGTTCAGTTTTCCTGTCTGCTTTTGGATTATTTTTTATAATTCCATTTTGTCTCTACTACTGGCTTATTAGTTATATATCACTTCAATTAAAAAAAAATTTTTAATGTTTATTCATTTTTGAAAGACAAAGAAACAGAGCACAAGCAGGGGTGGAGCAGAGAGAGAAGGGGACACAGAATCTGAAGCAGGCTCCAGGCTCTGAGCTGTCAGCACAGAGCCTGATGTGGGCCTTGAACTCACGAACCGTGAGATCATGACCTGAGTTGAAGTCAGATACCCAATGACTGAGCCACCCAGGCACCCCTAAATTTTTTTTAAATGGTTGTTTTGGGGCTTATAATATGCACCTATAATTTTTCACAGCCTATCTTATAATATTTTTATGCCAATCCATGTCGTGTAGAACAGCATACCTCCAATTTCTTTTTGCCCTGTTTTAAGGTATTGTTATATTTTACTTTTTACATGTCCTATAAACTCACAAAACCTTGCTCACTTTTTGCTTTGGTGAATATTTTTGAGTTATTAAAAATAAGAAAAATTATATGTCTTTCTTTCTCTTTCTCATTCTCTCTTTCAATCCAAATTTATCTCTGGTATAATATTCTCTCTGCCTGTAGAAATTCCTTTAATATTTCTTGTAGTGCAGATCTACTGGTGGTGAATTGTTAGCTTTTATTCATCTGAAAAATCTTCATTTTGCATACTTTTTAAAAAGACTTTTTTTCATTGGATTTGGAATTTTTGATTAACAGCATTTTGTTTCAGGATTTTAAAGATATCACTCCACTGACTTCTGGCTTGAATGATGAGAAGTCTGCTTTTTCTCATCTCTGTTCCTTGTATGTAATGTGTCCTTTTTCTCTGTCCACCATCAATATTTCCTCTGCCTTGTTCATTTTCAGCTGTTTGGCAAGAATAGGTCTCATTTTTTTTTTTGTTTGTTTGTTTGTTTTTAAATCCTGCTTGAGCACTCTGAGGTTCTTGGATCTAGAATTGGTCTTCTACTATTTATGGAAAATTCTCAGCCATTATCTCTGCAAATATTTCTCTTCTCATTCTTGCTTTCTTCTCTTCCTAGATTTCCAATTATACATATATTAGACCATAAGAAGTTTCCCCGCAGTTCTTTGATGCTCTGTGTCTTTTACTGTTTTAGTTTGAATGATTTCAATTGACCTATATTCAAGTTCTCTGACACTTTCCTCAGTTTTGTTGAGCCTACTCATGAGTCCTTCAAAAGCATCCTTTATGATAAAATTTTTCTTGTCTAGCACTTCCTATTTCACTCTTTATTAATTTCCACTCAAGTTCCCCCATCTGTTCGTGTATATTGTCTGCCCTTTTCACAAAAGGACTCAAAACATCGATCAGTTATGTAAAACTTTCTGATATTCCAAAATATGGGCATCTCACTGTGTGGTTTTATTAATTGGTCTGCTGCTACTTGGCAGAGAGGGTTGTTTGTTCTTGTAATCATGTAATTTTTTGACTGAATGCCAAATAACGTGTGTCAAATGGTAGAAACTGAAGTAAATGTTATTTTTGTCTGGAACTGGGCACAGCTATTCTGCTAAAGTGTTAGGGTGAACCAATCTGGCCAGGAGTTAAGGTGGAATTAGATTCTGTTGTTGAAATAGTTATCTTTAGTATACCACTTCAAATTTTTCTAATATTACTGGTGCTTCGGGTAGGGGCTGGAGTGTTGGAGGGTTTTTCTCAATGTTCCTTCTTCACCCTCAGCTTTTGGCCATCTCTGTCTACCTGTGCCACAGCATTCTCGGCCCATATTTTTGCTGTTTTTCCAATGTAGCCTGCTACTGCTTGCCTCTAGGAACAAGCTAGCCTATTTATGGGAAACAAGGATATTCTTTATTGTCTTGGTTTAGCCTCAGTCTTGAGTGGGGGTTGGAGAGGACAGAGATCTTATGTATTTGGGGGAACTAGGACTACGTAACACTACAAATGAGACAGAAGCTCTCTTCCCTCACCTATGAGCAAAAAAAAAAAAAAAAAAAAAAAAAAAAAAAA